TATAATACCTGTGGACGAATCTGGAGTGGTTCCACAGAACCGATACATTATAGCGAGATTTCCGTCCTTGCTCTTTTCTTGTATCTCCATGACAACCTTTGCCATCAGTGACGTCTTGCCAACTCCAGATTCACCGTAAATCACTAACGGCATCACGGGATCGGGTCCAGCCCCGTAATGCTGGATAGCCTGCAAAATATCTTCTCGGCCCTGAAACGAATGAGTGTGGTCACGACAAAAGAGAGCGTGACGCGTGACTTCTTCCATCAGGGGATTTGGAGGACCGAGGTTGTGCAAGATTTCGTTAATGCGAGATGTAAGGAGTTCTTTGACTCGGCCACACATTTCTGTTAGGAAAAAAAAAAAAAAGAAAAGAAAATAATAAACATATATTGTGATGTTTCCATTCCTTACTTTATATCAACTACGATTCCTCCTTGATTGGCTTAGTCAGTTAAATGGAATAGGATGAAACAGCGTTTCTCGGAAAACCACCAAGTAACTCTTGTTATGTCTGTCACTACCCCTTAAAATCACAGGTTACGTTCCCTTTTTACAAAGACAATGCTCACAAAGTTCAGTACTGTGTAAACTTGAATGAGGGTTCCGTGTCAATCATTCGGTCGATCTGTTGACGACTGAACATAACTTGAATTTGTACTGTTTATGTTGAACAAAGTGGCTCGAACTTTAAGTGGGTAAATGTGTAAACCTGAGTGTATTAGCAGCGAGGTGAAAAGCACTAATTGAGCATAGCCTGTGTGGCAGACATCAAGCGGGCGAGACGGAGAGAGAGAGAGAGAGAGAGAGCGGGTGGAAGGAGGGGGATTGATTGTTTCCATTTCTTTACCATTAATTTCGGTGGGGTTGTCTTGAGCTTTTTCTGGATAGGTCTTTACCTGTAATGTATTGCTCGTGTTCATCGTTTTGAATTCCTTCGTGATGCCAACGCAAGTTAGTGAACTTTAGTATGCGTCCAACTTCCAGTGAGGCTGGAATTCGATGTTCCTTCAGTTCTGACAACAGCTGAACGCATTCTGAGTCTATGTCGCCATCTTCCTATACGAACAAGAAGGCTGGTGTTTGCATTTTTTATGTCATTAGCTATAAGGATCTGGAACTCGTTCTCTTAGTTTAACTGAAGACACAGTGTTTTGGGCTTTACCTTGCATTTCGAGCTTAAATAAGTTTGGTCGAGAGGTTATTATTATTATTTTTTTATTATCACGCAATGAAAAAACAAGTACAACAAGAACAACACCAGAAGTAGTGAACTATCAGCTAAAAGGGAAAAAAAAAAGGAAATACCAGAATGACAATTCCGATTTCTTGACAGCCTATCACGATATCAAAATTAATGATCTGCCATCTTTCTCCATCCTTAAAATTCGGTACTTCGTCTCCACAACAGTTTTCAATGTGGGTTTTTGAATCTTTTTTATTCAATTTAACTCTGGAGAAATTTGACGAATTTTGCGAAGTGCCGCGAATTTTGACGAAAGCAAACAACAATTCGAGCTAAACGAAATGTCCGTGAACTCTGAACGAAAGTTCGAGTCATGTATTATTTGAGCCGACTCCAAATTCCCATTTGGGTTCATTCTACGTGAGTTCGATGGAAACGACGCGGACTGCCATGTATTATCATATGATCGTGAGCGCATTTCGGGGGAGCTTTCAAAGCGCACTGTAAATTTTCGGTGGCACATTTCGAATTTCCAGAAGTACTCTATGAACCTTGGGAAGTCATTGGAATTATCATAAGCGCCGGCAGAAGCGCTTGTTGGCTTGATTCGAATTGTTTAACCATATGGCGCCTTAAAATCCCTGAGCCAAATGGGAGCGACCGTTAGAGAGGAGGTAATGGATCAGTGAATTGCAAGAGATGGCATCGTACAGTATGTCTATTATTGAAATAAAAAAAGGAACTTTCCATAGTCTGCTGGGACACTGTCTCCTTAACTGCTCGAGCAGTTAAGAGAAATGTATGATGTAATTGATGCATCATGTGAATTCCTTGCATACAGCGGCCGCGCCCGCAGTACGGGTGGCAGTCAAAACGGAGCTGTCTTGCCAAAGCGACACGATAGTAGTCTTTTTCTTCGCAGCTAACAAGGCCGTCCCTCATGCAACGTCAATATGGATGACTAAATAACGAAGGTAATGTCAAGCATGACGATAACGATAACGATGTCGATAGGATGAGGACGAAAATGGAATTTTGTTCCATATGGATGATNTTTCAATCTGGGTGAAATTTGTGTTGCTACAATCACTGTTGTTTGACTCGTTGTTTTCTCCGTATAGCGGAACTTAACAAATTTCCTCATTTTTTTCGTAGCGAATTTGCAGCAAGAATGGACAAAGAGGCAGGCCATAAGACTGACGGAGGATCTAAGAATTTGATGGATAAAGAGGCAGCTTCTCGCATCCAGAGTGCTGAGGCAAAACAACATGGCGGCGGGGTGGAGAAAGGAAGCTTCGCTGCGCGTGCTCAGTCCACTGCTGACAAGCGTGAAAACCAGAAAGACTAGACAAGCATGAAGACTAGAACAACTAGAACTTAAAAGTAGATCGTGAAAAAGAAAAATACGAACACCTTAAAAGTAAAAATTTGTAATTCGGCTAATTTGGCACAACTGTCTAGCCGTAGAATCGTTAAATGTATGTAGGATTGTTCTTTGATTAAAAGATTACAAATACAAGTGGAAGTGCGTTAATACTGTTCAGTCCATCGCCGCTTTGTTAACCGAAAAGTAAAATGTGAGGGAAATTAGAATCATTTTAATAACGAAGCGGTAGTATGCGTGCTTTAATGTGATCATGACAAGTAAGCTACATGTGTTCACAGTGGCTAAACCTGAAGGACGGTGTTTATTTCCAGAAAATTGGAAAATAAAACGATCTTCGCTAAAAATCATATATGGTAATTATTCGTCTAAAAGGAAAACCCACTTAGCTTCGAGACGTCAGTGTCAAAAAAATATAAAAAATACATGCTTGTAGCGGCCGAGTTGATGCTTTTCTTAGAATCTCACGGGTCAGTAATTAAGCACCTCTCCCCTGACCGAAGCTAGTTCCCAGAAAATCAGCTTTTCCGGGAAAAGATCTAACCCTTTTTGAGTCGTTTAAACATGTTTACTACAGCCTTTACATACGAAAATAGATGTGATGTAATTGTTTCAAACATATTCGGTTGAGGGTACGCCACTCGTGCAGTACATGACTGAACAGGTGACGCTTGAGAACAAGACTAAGGATTGATTCAGTCCTAAGGTCTTCCTTGATTCCGAGAACTGCAATAAATCTTGCCTCTGACTACGTCATTTCCCCATTTTGCACTTTTTATGCAAACAGTCAGTTTGTCTATATGATAAAAAGGAAATTACGGGGTGGCTTCAGTAAAGATATGAATTTCATTTTCTTGGGTTAAAAGCAACAACCTTACGATTTTAAAAATAAATTTCACGAAGGCTGTTCCCATGCCCTCCATGGACGGTATCTGCGTTTCCAAGAATTCAAGTACACGGTAAACAAGCGATCAGTGTTTCCGAGAAAGAAGGTCTATTTTTGACTTACATGTGGTCGAAGTTGAACTCTTTGTGTTCAACAAATCTGCCAGCATATCACTTTCATTTCTAAGTTATTAACAATCAAATACCTAACAAAATGTTAAAGATCATTTTGAAGTAACAACAGTTGTCAATGCACGTTGCCAACATAGTCCACATATCACTGTCATTTCTAAGTTATCAAGAGCAAATTCCCACAAAAATCAAACAAAATCACATTTCTTCGGTAAGGCTAGAAAATTCAAATCCACTCGTCTTATGCATAAAGCCAGCGCCTAGCAAGAGTGCAAACAGGCTGTAGTTTTTTTCCTTGAAATAGCTTTGTCTTTCCGAGAAAAACGACATTTTCCGATTTAACCTTCCGACTCAATTTCATGAAATTTAGCGAGTCCCAACGGGGCTGAAAATCGGCTGAAAATCGACCATTTTCATTCGATTCACATTTCGCAACCATTGAGCGCAGAAAAGTTGTGATACAAACCGCTTATTGCAGATCTATTCCTTGTCTAAAAAAGGGCAATTTCAAGAATATTGGATTAATCTAATTATTTGACGGTAAACAATACCGGAGTGTTCTCCAAAATTGAGTTAGTCAGTCGGTGAAAAGAATTGTCATGTTGACCATGTGCCATGTCTCGGAATTCCACAAGATTTTAGATTCTAACTATACTAGGATAGGTCTTTCAATATATGTATAGTTCAGTTTGGACAAATGATTAGGCACTCGTCAAAAAATTATTCAAAGTAGTTCACAAAAGACACAAAATCACGCCAGCAGCTACCGAGTGCGTGACCAGAAGTATCATCAGCATATCGGCATTTAATACTTCAATTCGAAATGTATTTAGCATTACCTAGCAGTATAAAATGATATACACATAACATGTTCACCTGCCTCGGTTTGTAGTATCCTGAATCTTGCAATCTGATTCTTTCCCTGCATAATTTTCTTGTCAGTACTCATATCCGACTTTGAAGAAAAACAATTACTGTCTCAAGTCACATGTATGTATTATTGGATGTATCATTCTATCTGTGTCGTTTGATTAAGCCAGTAGCAACTGCTAAAGCGAGACCTGATGCAGTGGCGTCCCAAACGCGCAAGGATTTGTCACAGGTTGCGGACGCCAGTCGACTCGCGTCTTCATTAAAGGCCCCATCAATCACCCAGTCCGAGTGACCGCCGAGCAAGGCAAGGGTCCTGAAACTACCATTGACTTGTTTACCACTGACATCATCAAAGTTTGCGTCAAAGAGAGTAACGGTGTGATGGGCTGAGGAGCCGGCAGCCAATCGCGTTCCGTGTTGGGTTTGAGCAAAGGCCACCGTAGAGGCGTCGTTCGGGAGATTAAACGTCCAAATCTTTGCACCACTGTCAACGTCCCACAAAATGACGTCACTGTCAATACACGCGGAAGTAAGGTACTTTCCATCGGAAGAAAAGGACGCTGACCAAATGAGGGATTTGTAGTCCAGATCCTTTAGGCCTTCCAAACTGTCTTCAACAGGGAAATTTGGGTTATCGCCTCGCCGACGTCCCTCCAAGGTAAGTCTGATGGAGCTCTTACTAAGGTCCCATTTGAAGAGTTCCAGATTGTCCCCGCACGAGGCAGCAACCGAATCACCTACGGTGCACCAGGCACGCGATACAGGGGAACTTCTGTGTCCAGGAAGTGTTGCTAGGTTCTTACCGTTGCTTAGGTCCCAAAGTTTGAGGGTCTTCTTTCGAGAAGATGGAAGTAATCTTTGCCCATCTTTGGAGAAGGCAATGCATGTTACTCGTTCCTCATATCCCTCTAGGAGCCTTAAAAGATAGCAAGAATTATTATCTGATGACGAAGCCGTAAATGGCACATCAAAGTATTGTAACCCAGTAAAAGGTAGGCAGTAGACGAAGAGTACAAGGAAACCTTTGTTTTCAATATTTACCTGTTTAGCGTGGTTTCCTGATCGAGGTACAAAACAATCAACTCTGAATATTAAAAGGGCTTGGCATAATTAACTGTACCAATAAATTTGAACTTGATGTATTAGGAACGTATAGGGAGATATTTGCAAATCTTAGAGCTAGCGCTTCAAATGACATCAGTCACTAGGTTTGACAAATTCTTTTAATGTTTGGGATCAATTAGCACGAAATATTTCTTCACGTAAAGTCACAGGGTAATGAAGCAAAATGAAGAACAGAAAAAAGTAAAATGATTTCTGCAAGAAATTCCTTGCAGAAATTCTTCCTCGGACGTACGAGCTAACTCATACCCCCAGCATGGTACAAAGGGGGAAGGGGGACTGGATGGAACCTCAAATTCATTAATTTCTGTAGTTTGATGGGGAAAACTGGAAAAAAAAAACCTACAGATTTATCTCAAAAAAGTTGATTTATGGTAACACCTACTTGGAATTTGAGGGTTGCCATGGGAACGTCAAAAATGATGGACATACAATTAACCTATCAAAATTTCCGCAGAGAATAAAGGAACAACTACTGAAAGTCTCAGCCCCTTAGAGTAAATCGTTTTTTCAAAACTTTGAAAAAGCCTCATGAGGGGGGGGGGGGGGGGGGGGGGCTGAGCGAGTGGCCCCCATTAACTCCACCCCTGCTTCGGTCCCTCGGTTAAAGCATACTTCTTGGTA